TCTCACAAAAGCTAAGTAACCATAACATCCCTTATGCAACATATGCCTAGCACTAAGTATTGACACAAGGTTATATGGAGCTAAACTTCGTCTCCCCGAAACCGGAATTCGACTCCTCTTGCATGTTAAAGTTCACTATCTTCCTATTACGATCAAGAGATGCATGATATTGAGACAACCAGTTCATTCCCAATATTACATCAAAGTCCACCAATTCAAACAATAAGGGGTCCACTGGAAGATCTCTATCTCCTACCTTAACCTTGCAAGACCGATACACCAAATTTACTTTTACACTTTCTCTCGCTGGAGTGGACACTACTAAGGACTCATCTAATCTCTCCGACCGTTTATCTAACCTCTTGGCTAAGAATGGGGATATAAATGAGTAAGTAGCTCCGGTGTCAAATAATACCCGTACATCAAAAGAATCAATAAGAAGTATACTTGACACCACCGCATTGAAGCTCGCGTATCTTGTCTAGTCAAGGCATACACCCTAGCTTGTCCACGCCCGCAAAACCCCGATCTCTTGCCCCTACACCTCGACCTCTACCGATCTACAACCGACCTCTACACGTCCAAGACCGACCTCTACCAGATTGCATCGGTCCTCTACCACCGGAACCTCTACCTCCTAAACCTCGTCCACCGGCCCCATCGGCTTGATCGATAGCATAACTCTAACCGGATGAAGTAGGTGCACGTCCTTGTGACAAAAAAGATGGACATTCTCTAGCAAAATGACCCTTTTGCCCACAACGATAACATCCGACTCGTCCAACCCTACACCGGCCCCAATGCATCCCGTTACAAGTTGGACAATGAGAAGGAGTGCGAGCATTTTGCCCGGACCGAGAAGGAATGCGAGTATTCGGCTCGCCCGAGTTAAGCCCTATCGACTGTAGCTCATAGATCCCCGACTCCTACCCACGGACGTTCCAGGCCTCCGGTGGTATCCCCTCCGTAACCCCTGTTAGCCCATTTGACCACGATGGCCCGAACCCCTACTAAATCCACCAAGCCCACTACCTCGGCCTTGATGGCCACCGGACTACCCCTCACCTTTACTCCTTTTAGGTCGAGGACTGCGCTCTTCCGGGCGATCCACTCGATATAACTCTATTAATCGGGCACACTCTACGACCTCTACATTGGTGTTCATCCTTGCGAGCAATCAAAAGTGCACGAAGTCGTGGCACTAAACCACCGATAAATCGAGACATCTTTAGCTCCTCTGTGCCGACTAAGTAAGGAGCATAACGACTAAACTCTATAAATTATACATCATATTCAATAACGGTCATGGAAGCATCTTGTCTCAATCTCTCAAACTCAAATGCTCGCTGTCGCCTAACACTCTGCGGCGAAATCTATCCATGAAAGCCTTACCGAAATCCTCCCAAATCCAATTGGAAAATCCCTCGATCTTAAACCGGTATTTGGCTATCCCGATCAAACGAACTCTACTATCTGCACCGCCTTTCGAGAATCACAACCTAATGCCTTACATCTTGCATCTATCTCCTCCAGAAACAAATGAGGATCCTCATCGAGTTTTCCTTCAAACCACGACGGCTTAAGTTTTAAGAACTCGGATAATGGCACTCCATCCTCATTAGCATATGAAGAGGATGGTGTCATCCCTGCTTGTGCATGTAGCCTCTCATGTCGTGCAACAATCTGCGTTAATAAGTTCAAGTTTTGGGCAACATCCCGTGCCCCTATAGTGGCTACGGACCCGGTCACTCTTTCCTCGTCCGCCTCTCTCTGTCCGTCATAAAATCTCGTCTACTACGCTTGCTACCCCATGTAACACGTGGGATAGCTAAGCCAGTCTTCGTACGTGGGGCTCGGCACCCCTAGCACGACCTACATTAGGGGTCCTTCCACCCTCGCTACCTCTATCGCCTCTAGTCCTCGCCATCTAGTAACAAAAGAGTTCTAATCAATATCATTTTATAATAAATACACACTATACTTAACCCGATATAATAAGAAGCGTAACGCGAAACTAAGATGCAATGAATAACTCAAAGACAATTTGGAAACCTATAACTACCTATAGCTCGCGGTGCAAAACCAAAGGCTTATCCTATAACTTATTGACTAGTTCAACCTTAAAACATATCTACTAAGCCTAAACCATTGCTCCGATACCAACTTTGTCACGACCCGAGCCGACCAACGCGACCGACACGTAGCCGGGGTGGGGTGACCCACCATAGGCTACGTAAGCCTTAATCCTTTCTCTATTTCCTACGAAATTTCGACAGCATTTCCCTATAATTGGACGATCCCAAAAATAATATATCCCGTATAAAAATCACAATAGATGTACACTTTCAAATCATCGTCATCAATTCTCAATCATCCTCAAGTCCCTCCATTGGACATCCACATTTCCTCATAAATCTCGGTATTTACTAAATTGACAAAAATACACATAATCCAATATTTAAAATAACCAAATTTATAAATCACCATTTAACCATCCAAATACAAAATATGGAGACCACTTAACTAGTTATCTCTGGATTTGGTGATGCTACCAACGGAGCAACTAAGTGAAATAAAATACACAATGGCTAATTACAATTCCAAAATGGACAATAAATACAAATTTATAACAACCATATCCTATACCGGAGGAAGCAAAATAATATCCGGGTAGTATCTTCAAATCCGGAAAATCTATCGTCCTCCTTCTATGATCTAGTTTACGTATTATCTACAAAATATTTGAGGTTGGGGGGTGAGTTTTCAAAACTCGGTAAGCATAACACATATTATAAATCGCTATACATACAATTATATCAATGCACCTATCATACATGATTTGCAACCAAACAAGTAATCAATAACTTTTTCTTTTTCTTTCTTTCTTAACAATTAATAATAGCATAACAATTTCTTGAAATCACTCTATGCAAAGCTGTCCATTCATTTGGCCCTCGCAAGGGTAGCTGTAAACTCTAGCCCCCGCAGGTATAAACTCGACGGAAGCACACGGCCATTCTACTAGCCGACAATACTAGGTGCACCTAGAGCTAACTATAACCCTGTTAGTTTAGTTAGTCTTGCATAGACTTCTTTCAAGTCATCAATCTCATTATTCTCATTCGAGCACATAGAAATCACACAATTCCATTTAATGCAAGTGATCATCATATCAACATGCACATATACCATTCAATGCAACAATATTCTCTTTAATCACCACAATTCATACGACAACATACCAATTCAATTCATATACAATTATTTATACTAATGAAGCATTTATCCATACAATTATTATTTTTTTCACTTCACAAGCAATATATTCATATAGGATAATAAAAACTCATAATATGTGCTTATACTTACCTCTAATCTTGAGGAACACCCCAAATTATAATTGTCTTTTCCTTAAGCGACTTCTTCCACTAAATCCTCTCTTACCTCTATCATCATAAATTTGCATTCATCAATAATAACAATAATTAGACATTAATAAATTGAAATTCAAGCTTGATTAGACCACTAATTAACCCATTTACTCACTTTTCTCAAATTTTCTAAACTAACATAAACCCTAATTTTAATTAAACCTAATCCCTAATTCAAATTCTTAATTCAAAAAGGAAATTCACTAAATTACATATAACCAATCCTAATTAAGGTTATAATTAACTAAAACATTCAAAAAAATTCAAAAACTAACTTAATAAATATTTTTCCTTTTTCTTTATTTCACCTCCTTTTTATCCTTATTTTTCTTCTTCTTACACGATTCACTCCACCACTGCCGTCGCCGGAGCTGTCGTCGGAGTGGGTGGTCGCCGGTGAGTCTTCTTCTTCCTCTCCTTCCTTCTCCTCTCTTTCCTTTCTTCTTTTCTTTCTCTCCCCCTTTCCCGTTTTTTTTTTCTTTCCTTTGGTTTCTGCCAACCTTCCCTCTTTGTTTCTTTCTTTTCTTTACTTTTAAATTACCCTAATGCCCTCATTTAAAAAACCCTAATTAAGTTAGCTCTTGGTTTTATGAGTATTACGAGTAAAGTCAATCTATATTAAAAAAATATATATCAAAGATAGGAAATCAATGATTCAAAAAAAAAAAATCATTAATAACTTAAGAAAATTATTGAAAAACATCAAAAAAAAAAAAAAAAAAACATCAACCAATTTTATTTTTTTTTAAATATATATTCTTGAAATATAAACTTACAATGTTGTCAGCAAGCATCGAGCCACGTCCGCTCCACGCCGACAAATATGATATCCTCCAGAAGTCGTATAAGTAGATTGTTAGGTGATAATAACTGACAGGATAATCGTAACACCCACACGAATGAGTTAGGCGGAGACGAAACGGAAGGACAAATAAAGATATGGTCCTTCAAGTCTTACAATTTGGTCATATTAATCTTAATACAACAATTTTGTACAAATCAATCCTCATATGCCCGTGAGATGAATGACAGGTGTGTCCCAAAATGTTCACATATAGCCATATAAGCTGACGGTTTAAGATAAACTATGTTTTTGTCTTATTCACCAATGCTCCGCTTCAACCTATAGTCTAGATTTCTCAATATTATTTCTATAATTTTTATATGATTCTAATTTTGCCCTTAACTACTAACTAACTAGCAAAATATTCTTTTTATTTTTATTTTTTTCCAACTCTTTTTCCTTCTAAAATTCTCCATACATGTTATCATATCTCACAATAATACTTAAAAACCTAAAAATACTCAAATATTGAATTCGAAACGTAGGTTATTTCATGGTAGAGATAGAAGTGGAATATAGATGTATCAGTAAGAGCAAAAATGAAGCGTAACGGTCAATATAGAAAGGGGTAACATTGAGAAATTTAAACTATATAGATAGAAGTGGGACATTAATGAATTGATAGGGGCAAAAACGAAGTTTGAAAGTCATCTATTTAACATGCTGCAACTGAACGGAAAGTGACTATCACGTGGTAAAAAATCTGCTGTTAATTCATAATTGAGATGCTCAATGCAGCGCAGGATAACAACCGTCATGCTGAATCCGTACTCCCTATTTATTACGCAGCAGTAACCACCATTAGCAAAGAAGAAGGCAATGGAGATGGAGAAGATGAAAGGAGGAGGAGAGAGTGAAGAAACAGAGGAAAAAAAGTAATATTATCGGATAAAGTAAAGGAATGCCTTTCACAGAGACGAGAGGAATCGCCATTAGTGTGGGCAATGGAACTTGTGAAATGTTTAAAATCGTTAAAAATGGGAATGCCAAGCCCTGAGTTAGCTGAAGATTTAGTCTCTCATCTCTGTTTTGATCACAATAACGCTTCTCTCTGGAAGTTTCTACAACAGGCACTTTCCTCTCGCCTTCTCTCCCCGCTTCATGTCCTCTCTCTCCTCTTCTCTAGGTATACTTAAATGAAATTAATTATTGATTTTTATAATAAATGAATGATATTAATATTTCTTTTTTGTTGTTGTATTGGTTACAGAGTGATTCCTAATAGACGGTCTCAACCGGAGGCGTACAGATTGTTTCTGGAACTTTTCAGCAGATATGCGTTTTCGCTTGATACAGCTGTTGATGATGCCTGCAGAGATAAGTATGTTTTACTTTTGTGTTAAACCTGTTTAATTAATTGAATTGGAGGTTAGGAGGCAATTAAAAGCATTTTTTTTGTTTTTTGTTTTTTTTATTATTCCTGTTTGGATTATTAGTGTATTCGTTATTAAAGTAAGAAGCAAAATCGAGGTGAATTTTTTTAATAGTAAATTTTTTGTTGAGTATTTTTCGCCAAATTTTAATTACTATTGTATTGATCTGTGGAAAAATTGGTAGTTAGGAGGACTAGATGGGATTGGCAGGCTGTGATGTGTGATGATTGAATTTTACTACTTGCTCGTGCTTCTGTAATGTGTGTGTGTTTTAACTTTTAAGTGGCAATTTAGATCTCTCGTTGTGATTGCCCCCTGGTTTTGTGGCACTGTGTGACATACTAGCCAAAGAATTATGGACATTTCTCTATGAATCATGCTTTGCTTGCTTTTTTCAGGATAATTAATTCTGTTGATGCTGCTCTTCAGCTATCGAGTTATGAAGTTAGTGTTTCAGAGCTTGGACAATTGTTGGTGTTGTTCTTTTTTACTGTTGTTGTTGGATTGATTGATAGCACTTTTGATGATATGGGATTACGGATGAAATCTTCTGATGTAGAAGAGGGACCATTTGGAACGGCTAATTACCAGGATATGGACATAGATTCTAGAGGGGATTTTAATGATGAGAGAAATGAGAATCGTGAGCTTTTAAGGAAGAAAAATTCTGTCATGGCCATGGAGGTGCTGGTGACACTTATGGAAAGCAGACAAGCTGTGGTTCTACTCCGTCTTGTATGCTTTAACATGTATGATGCTCTGTCATTTTTCATATATTTTGCCTATGCATATGTATTTTTTCTTCTTTTGATGCTAATGTGGACAAAGATGGTGCCAACTACATGTTTACATTACTTTGATAATGCGTACTTTCAATCCAACTTTTCTGCTCTTGCTTCATCAGTTCTATAATTGCTATGTACTTGATTTTTAATGGTACTTTTTAGCATACCCTCAAGTCTGGTTACAAGGATAGCGTATGGTACACTAGGAATGGCATCCACGTCCAACTGGTATAAGTTGTAAGAGTTATGCACCTAACAGGCATCATTCATTTGCACATGTGTGTGGAAGGAAACACTTATCATCATAAAATCGCAACCCAAATGCCATAATCAATAAGCTTCTCTTATTATTTTTCTGTCTTTGCATTTCTACTCACTTCAACTTAAAAGATGATAGGAAAGAACAAAATGAAGGAGAACTTGCAAGCCAACCAACTCGAAACTGCAGCATAGCTGATTACTCTTTTATAGTTCATGTTACGCAATGGTTGCTCTCTTTACTGAGGTCACCCACTAGGCATGTCTGAAAATTACTGAATATGTTTCTCAAAATTAAAGAGTCCCATTGTCACTTATCATTAACAATAAATGTTTAGAGACCTTGTGATGAGTTGGAGCTGATACATGGTGGATTGCCATCTAAGCAACAAGAAGTCAAAAAGAAGCCAATGACTGTTATCCATTATTTTTTCCAATAGAAAAACAAATAATGGTGCTAAGAAGAAAACACATAATTTGCCTCTTTTTTTGGTGCAAGCTATTAAAACTATGCTCCCATTTCTACACTGCTTAGTCTAACTAAAATTTGTATAATGTCCTCCCATTTCTGAAGGTTGTTAAATGTCTTGCTATATGCTACCTTTTCTATAATTGTTTCAATTTTTACCTTCACAGGCCCCAAAAGTTCCACAGCCTCCGACAGAGGCTATGGTTTTCTGAAGCCAGTAAATTGGCATCCTCAAGTATGAAGCCTGCAAGCCAGTTCTTGGAAAGATTATCAGCCAACATTCGTAGAGTGTGTGATTTTGAAAACCAGTTAAACAGGGGCGACCTCTTTCGGATGCTTACTGATATCAGACAACCACATAAGCAGCTGTCCTATTGCAATTCTGAATCTGTACAGTCTGCTTGTTGGGCTCCCTTTGATATTTACCTGGAGCACATAATGGATGGGAAGCAACTTCTTATTAGTTCAGGAGCTACTATGCTCACAGGTAAATGCTCTTGAAGAGGTTCTCTTGAAGTTATTTTGGGCATACTTTGATCTTTATTTGTGCTTTTTGGTTGGTATATGTATTAACTTTATAAAATACATGTGTTTTTCTTAAAAGTCACAGTTTGAGACTTTTGAGTAAATAAAATTAACTGCTTGGAAGGGGCAACGACTTATTTTCTGATTTGCATCTTATAACTGCAGAAACAATTATGCTACTTCAGGTGTTTAATCGGGCAAGCTGGCAAGAAACCTTCCTAGCACTCTGGCTTTCTGGTCTTCGGCTCGTGCAACGAGTTGAGATCTATCCATCCTAAATTTTCTCTTCTTGCAGAACATATGCAATGAAGTGTAGCTGAAGCTTATTCCATTTCATGGTTTGTTGCAGGAACGTGACCCTCTGGAAGGCCCTATTCCACATCTTGAGTCACGTCTTTGTATTCTTTTGACCATTATTCCTTTAGCGATTGCTAATATTATGGATAATGGGGCCAGATTTTCTTCCTCTTCTCCTCAAGGAGCTGCAACATCTGGGTTTATAGAGATTGCTGAACATGAATATCGAGTGGATGGGAAGGGCCAAACTTCAAGAAAAAATGGACTTATTTCCTCACTCCAGGTCCTTGGACAATTCTCTGGGCTCTTATGCCCTCCAGCATCAGTTATTGGTGCAGCTAGTGCTGCTGCTGTAAAGGCAGCCAGCTTTGTCTCTGATTCCAAGAGTGCAAAGGGTGGTTCAGTTTGTGGCACTCACAGCGATTCTTATATTAATGCAGGTAACTTAGAAGTATCTAGTTCACTTCTAGGATCACAGAAAATTCTGACTTTGAATCCACACTTTAAGTGCCCAGATACTTTTAACTGCCCGTTGCTTTACATGGTATCTTAGCAACGTTTATCCTTTCAGGTGTTAATATGAGGCATCTCATTATAGAAGCTTGCATCGCGAGAAATTTAATCGATACATCTGTATATTATTGGCCTGGTTATGTGTCTCCTTCAGTCATCTCATTTTCAGATTTACCACCAGTTCAAAAATCTCCTTGGGTAAAATTTATGGAAGGAGCACCTTTCAGTAATTCTCTTGTGAATTTGCTACTCGCAACACCTGCTCCAAGGTAAAACAGAAAGTTTTCCAAGTAATCTCTAGTTGACATGTAATTGATCTCCTTCATTGCTATTTTGTTAAAGTTTAGCAGAGATAGAGAAGTTATATGATATTGCATTGAATGGGTCAGTGGAGGAGAGGTCGGGAGCTGCAAAGATTCTCTGTGGTGCATCCCTAAGCCATGGATGGAACATTCAGGTTTGCATTTGTACTATATTGATGCCAAAAATTTCCAAGCTGGTTGTTCTTCTGTGACCTTTATAGAAAATAGTAGCCATTAGCCAATATATAAATGCATGATTCATATGTTTAAGTCTTGAGTGTAGTATTTGTTTTTTATCAATGCCTGCCAAAGGAGGATGAAAATGCATTTTTAGATTTGTTGACTTGTTCTGGTCAAGGGATGGGGATGATTTACTAATGCTACTTAATTGAAGATGATGTTTCTACTTTTATTTTTATTTTATGTTACTTTGTCAGGAACATGTGCTGCACTATGTGGTGAAGCTTCTTTCTCCTCCTAAGCCATCTGCACATACTGGACAAAGGAGTCACTTGATTGATTATATGCCTATGCTAAGTGCTATCCTTTCTGGAGCTTCATCAATCGATACTGTCCATGTGCTTTCTTTGCATGGTTTGGTAGGTGAAGTACTGTGATATTCTCTTTTATGGTATTCACTCCATGAGTATGTGATGCCTTGAGACTCTTTCTCAAACGAAGTCATTTCTTTATCTGTGCTGGCTATTATTGGCTGGATATCATGCCAGCCTGCCGATTGTCTTGATTCTATGTGCTTTTCAGGTGAATCCGTCATGTTGATGTGTGTTTTTCTTTATCATAAGAATATGGACTATTAAACAGCTATATGGGCTGCTTGGCTGGTCAAAGCAGGTTTTGGCAGGAATTGTCTCATTTGGGTTTGCCTAAGGCCAAGATGAAATCAACTGCACCAGCCAATGCCCTAACCACTCTCAATGAATATGCTGTTCTTAGACACCCATTGTTCTTGAACTGCAAAAATCTTTTTGCATTTCTGTCTCCTCATAGACGCTCATATAAGTATTGCAAGTTGGATCTCCTATGAGTTCTGATGGATCATTGTATCTGTTCATATAGATTCCTGAAGTTGCAGCTTCTTTAATGCCTCTCTGTGAGGTGTTTGGGTCACTTATGCCTACTTCAAGTAACATATCGAGCACAGGTGATGAGCACTCCAATTACATGGTTTTTTCTTCTGCCTTTCTCTTTCTTCTGCGTCTATGGAAATTCTATAGACCCCCTATCGAGCAGTGCTTAACGGGAGGAGGAGCACTAGGAGGTGAACTCACTTTGGAGTATTTATTATTATTGCGCAATGGCCACATTGCATCTCATAATCCTGGTTCCAAGGATAAAATTAATAGCAATCAGGTCCAGCATGAATATGCATCGGATAAGCCTGTATGTGTTGATTTTTATCCAAAACTGCGAGCTTGGTATTGTCAAAACAAGTCCTGTATAGCTTCTCCGCTTTCTGGCATTTCTACGGGAAATGTTGTTCATGAGGTTGCTAATAAAATCTTAAACATGATTTACTGGAAAATGACTAAAAGTGGGTCCTCACCTGGGAATTCTTCAACATTGTCAAGCAATAGTTTATGTGGGTCCCCTCCAAGTACTGTTGAAGATCCTTACCAGAGGCCCATGCTTCCTGCATGGGATGTGTTGGAAGCCATGCCCTTTGTTCTTGAGGCAATTTTAACAGCTTGTGCTCATGGACGACTTTCATCTCGGGATTTGACCACAGGTAAATCACAAGTCTAGCTTTAATTGTTGCAGAGGATTTTTTAGTTTGTGCTTTTTGTTTTCTTTTTATTTATTCTGGTTAGTTTTTCATCTATTGATTTCTAAAACCCCCTGTCTTGTTATTAGAAGAATAACAGCTGTGTCATCAACTTTTATAAGTACAATTGAGGCTTCTATAGTGTGTGACTGTGTTCCCTTCTGGCTTGCATAGACTTAAGAGCTCTTGAATCCTTGCAGGTCTAAGGGACCTCATCGACTTTCTTCCAGCTTCTCTTGGAACCATTGTCAGTTACTTTGCTGCAGAAGTAATTCGAGGTATATGGAAACCAGTTCCAATGAATGGAACTGATTGGCCCAGTCCAGCAGCGATCCTTTCATCTATTGATTCTGAAATAAAAGAAATACTTGCTGCTGCAGGCATTGATTTCCAAAGCTGTTCCTCTGGTACTTTTCATCAAACTCTGAGATTTTATGCTGATTTACTATTGCATGATAAAATTTAATTACATTTCATGTCTGCTGCTTTATAAGAGACATGTGTGCATGGAACCACCCATACAAAGATCTGTACCTAAAATAGCAATGAAACAGCACTATATCTTGTGTGAGGACATGTGGACCTGTTTCTGTACTTGTGGGTTTGAATTTTTTTTCTCTTTTTTCCAAAAGGGACATCTCCTAGTTAATATCTTTGTTGACTCCTGAGATGGGTGCAATCCTGCCTTCAATAATTTTGCATGAACTGATTATGCACCCATAATTCAGTTGTGCTCTCTCGTTAAGTCTCTGCACCCTATCCGGATTAAAGCCCCAAAAATTAGTACATCACCAGGCAATCTTCTCCATCTCTGCGTCTTTGTGTGTAAAAATAACTTACTAACCACTGAACAATCCCTTTTTATATGATCATGGCATTTATTGTAAGGGACTTTAGCTTTGTCATTTAGCCTTGTCTTTATGGGGTCGTTACATGGTGCAGATTTCTTGGTGTGTTTGAATGTTTATATTGCTTCCGTTCTGGTTTAGCTCGTCTTGTTCATGGACTTCTATGATAAGTAACACTAGTCAATGATGCAATTGTTTGTACTATTTAGAGGCCTGTAATAAATTAATAATGACACTCACAGAACTTTCATTTGAAGATAAGATTGCTTGTTTTTTGCTTGATAAATCCTGTATAATTTCTTGCAGGGCAATCACCTCCCATGCTTCCATTGCCAATGGCAGCTCTGGTCAGTTTAACCATCACTTTCAAACTCAACAAGAGCCACGGATACATCCATGCCGTAGTTGGGCCTGCCCTGGAAAATTGTTCATCAGGCTGCCCTTGGCCTAGTATTCCTATAATTGGTTCTCTGTGGGCCCAGAAGGTCCGTCGCTGGCATCATTTCATAGTTGTGTCATGTGCTCGCTCTGTCTTGAAACGAAATAAAGAAGCTGTTGCCCAGCTCCTGAGGAGTTGCTTCTCATCGTTCCTTGGATCACTTAATGATTCCACTTCTTTGTTGACCAATCAGAGCAGCGTAAGTCGTCTATTGGGCAGCATTATTGCAGTTCCTGGTGTTTGTCCTTCCCTTGCACCTGGATTCCTTTACCTTCGCACTTGTCGGACTATAGAGGACATTCAATACATTAATGATGTGATCTTAGGTCTTGTAACAGAATATGGAAGGGAATTAACCACCAGATGGACTAGCATGGACTCCTTTCGCCTGAAGTCTAGCCAAGCATCCCTATCCTTTGCAGCTTCCAAGGCAAGGGAGGTAGCCATGCTGGGTTCAAGCCTGTTGTACTTGTCAGGTGGGATGAATTTGATTCAAGAACTTTACCTGGAGACTATCCCAACATGGCTGCTCTCATCCAAAAAAGAGAAACTTGGTGAGGTCAGTGCCGTGTCCCATATACTGGAAGGGTATGCAATGGCATACATGTTGGTTCTGTCAGGCGCAGCTTTATGGGGAATTGGGCCCACATCTTCATCATGGGCATTGTCTAGAAGACAGCAAGTGGTCGGAATCCACATGGACTTCTTGGTCAGAGTGTTGGAAGGAACCATATCACTTGGTTGCCATCCAGCCACATGGAAAGCTTATGTCTCTTGTTTAGTAGGTCTAGTAGTGAGTTTTGCTCCAGGGTGGATTCAAATCGTGAAGCTGGAAACACTGAGGAAATTGGCTAGTGGATTGAGGGGATGGCATGAAAGTGAGTTGGCTCTCTCTCTGCTTGAAAGAGGTGGGGTTGCAGCCATGGGCTCTGTAGCTGAACTGTTGAATGTAATTAGTTGAACTTCAAATGCAGAAATGGTGTGTCCATCATTTGTAAGTTGAGCTCTGAATGAAATTAGTGAGGTCCATCAAATGTCGTTAGAAATTAATGTCTTTAGGCCTCTGTTATTGTATATTTGAAGGCCATAGCTCAGAATATCGGATACTGTATGTTCAGGTAACTTCCGAGGCAAGCTGATCCATGACCTTCTGGAGCGTCTGTTAGCAGTTCAGGTGCGTATCTAACCTGGAGTCGTAGCAGCTATCTTCATGATCTCGCTAGGGACATTTTTATTCAATAAAATAGTTTTAGGGTGGGGAATCCCAAATCTTGATCTCCTCTGTATATGAAACCTTGTTAATCACATTCCACTGTTACATACATGCGCTTGAAAGTGTTATTATGTTTCATAGAATTGCTCGCTCTTATAATTCATCAAATAAAATTGCTCTCTTATTTATTTGCTTCTATATATGCAGCCCAATGTGGTGGTCTCTTGTTGAAGAAAGATATCCAAGAAAAGAACAATATGAGCAGCAGCTGTACATCAAATTTTGCTTTTGCCCATGAAAGTTCTGCCGACAAATCGATAGATAAAATGGACAGCACCAACCTATCTAGTATACAGTTGGGATTATTTTCTTTTTAGGGTTTTTTTTTCCTTTTTTCTTTTAGGATTTCCCATTGGAGGAATTAACAGCTCCAACCTATCTAGTATTATTCTTTAAAGTAAAATAATCTTCTTATTAAATGTAACCACATGTAATTTGAATTATTTGCATTAATAAGAAAATGTAGTTGATGGAGTCTTTAAACCAACGGCAATTTATAAAATTGAAACGGAACTGTTTTTAATTTTATTTTCAATTTGTGTAAATTCTATTTATTGTGCATTAGAACGTTTAGATTCCGAAACTATTGTGCTGTTGAATACAGGGACGAAGAAATAATGGTTTAATTCCAAATCCGCCATTTTCGTACTTCCTGTGATTTCAATGGAGATCATGCTTTAATCAGTAATAATATAAAAAGGAAGATAACAAAATTAGTGATAATTATGACTAATGATGGTGTCATCTTACATTTACTTCAACTTCAATGGAAACTTAACGGAAACCCTCAATTTAGTCCTGAACGTAGATATCCATCCTCAATTACATCCCAAATCTATAAATTCTATCATTTAGGTCCTCAACATTTTCTACATTTCTCATTTGTGTCCTTTTTTCAATTTCTATTAATAGTATAAGTGTAATTTGCACATTCATGCCTTAATGTGATGTCAATTTTTTTTAAAAAAAGTTTGACGGAAAGGTTAATCAACTTTAATGTTTTTTTGATATAGTGTGCTTGTTTATACACTAAAAAATGGCATCATTTTGAAAAAAAATTCATAAAAATGTAGATGAACATTAACAGAATGACCTTGTTGAGAATATTTGAAAAAATTTGGGATCTAACTAATAAAATTTATAAGTTTGGCACTCAATTAAAAATGAATGTATAGGTTTGGGACTAAACTGAGGTTTTCTTAAAATTAACTTATCTTCTTCGCACAGTATCTACGTAGATGAAGCACCAAGGAAAAAGGCAAATATGTCCAAGGAGCAAACATAAGGGCCCGGGGGGATGGGCAAATGAATTAGTGTTTTGTGTGGATTGAATGCTTCACTTTATAATCCTTAAAAATAATATATATATATATATATAATCCATCGAACCCTTATAATAGTTTTTTTTTCGTCGAAGCCTTATAATATTATCTACATACTCTATGGATATGAAGATTGATGAACAGAAATCAACAATGTATGCTGCTCCAGGTCTGTAGGCGTAGAAAAGAAGAGATTCAGTTTATAACCAATCTTGCTTTTACTAATGACTTGGGTTGCTGCCTTGGTGTTCCTCTCCTGCATTCTCGTGTTACCAACGACTTTTGGTTATGTTTTCTTCTAAGTTAGCAGGTTGGACGGCTAAGGTTCTTACTTTTGCTGGCCGCGTCACATTAGCTAAATCCACATTGAATGTTATCTATTCATTCGATAGAGACTCTCCAAACTGCGTGTGATAATATAGACAGAATTGTCCGCTCCTTGTTTGGACTTCTAAGCAGGATAGCAGAGGGGTTCATATGGTTAATTAGGAGAATGTGGCTAGGATTAAAAGGAATGGGGGTCTTGGCATCCGCAAGGCTTGCCAGCAGAACATTGCTCTGGTAATCTTATTAGACTTAATTTTATATCTCTAATGTATGCTGCCTAAGTAGGCTTATGGTGAGTGTTTATCTATATGAGATAGAGAAAATATGTGGTTGTTTAGCTTGCTCTTGCTTTTTGCGGTTTCTTGACTTAACTATGTGTCGGATAGTTTTTTCTTTACCGTTGCGATTGCTTAACCCTTTTATGTGTCTAGGGTTCTTCTTTTATTGTGGAGGCCAGATTTGGCTTGTAAGGAGATTAGGGGTGTATCTGTTGTTTTCGTACGGATAAATTGGTCTTACCCTAATTATGTAACGACTCTTGACAAATATGGTGATCCGTCTAGAAGAATATCTCTTTTCGATGTAAGTGTGTCATTTCAAAAGTTAACGTGTCGGACGGTGTTTTTCATTTAATACTTGTCCTTTATGTTTTTTTTTAAAGGGAGTGATGAGCGGGACACGGGGGTGGATGGTGATGTAGGGGAGGGTGAGTCCTATTTGTGAAAGTCTTTCACTATACGGAGTTTCGTATAGTCATGCTTACGGTAAAGGGGTCCCATTACTGCGGTTGGATGAGGGACACGTGTTCAAGTTATTTTACTCGGATTTACCGGTAGCCTCCTCGAGTCTTGAGCGAGTAGATCTTGTAGAAGATTCAATCTTTCGTTCGGACGATGTTTAAATAGCCTAGTTATGTTAGTAATATTTCCTTTTAAACATTTGTCTTTATGGGTATAATTCTTGGCAAAATTGTTGGGGTATAACATTTGTTGTCTAAAGAGATCTTTGGAAAAAATTGATGAGTAACACTTGCCTTCTTAGGCATAATTCTTTGTGAAAACTTGAATGATATCTATCATCTTGGTTATTTTTTAGCAAAAATTATTCTAGATTAACATCTATCATCTCGAATATTGCATCGTAAATTTTAAATGATTGGATTTACGAGTAATTTTTGGTGTCTTTGTCGATGTCTATCAATTGCTCGCTTGTCTTTTTGGATTGGACACCAATTGGTGTACGGCAATCTTCATTAAATTTTGCATGCTATGCTAATGATTTTCTCATGTGAGAAGCCTTATCATCCCTTATGTGAGGGTTTTTTTCAAATACAAAGCATTTTGACTACCATCGGACTCTTTTAATCCCATTTGTCTTTTGATCTTAGTAGGACACTTGGCAAATATGGATCGGTCCTTATTGAAGCGAGGTGTCTTTTGAGCTGATACTTTTTTCCTGCTTCTTTGCATATACTTATTTTATCTTATTTCTTCTAATTTCTCTAAAATTTCCCAATGAGCTATGTTATTGGCAATCTTTGTTTCTTCTTTTTTTTGCTTCTTCTTTCCTTCAGTGAAAACTTCCAATAGTTATTCTTTGAAGTTTTTTTTTTTTTTTGAGTTCTTTCTTTGGTTTTCTTTCTTTTGGAATTCTTCGAGTTTTTTTCTCAATTTTTTTTATAATACTTTTGTTACTCTTACAAACAACAATGGCATACCTTAAAAAATGAGAGAGGTAGAAGGTGTTGCCCATAATGTCGAGGGAGCTAACCATGTTGTTGGTGGGCTTGCAATTCTGCTAAGGATGAGTTTAGTTCCTAACCACGACGAGAGGTTTGCAAGTAATGTCTATGGGCTATGAGGAGGGCCCCACTACTATCTCTAGTAATATGATTAGAGGTTATGGTAGGTTTTTTTTTTTTTATAAGGATTTATGTACTTGTCAGCCCTTGTTCTACTAATAAGATGAGTGCTTATGCCCTTTACTAGTTTATAGAGGAATATTAAGATCAACATGCCTACTCGTAATGTTGGAGTACGGGGTGAGGTTTCCTCTCATAGATTTCTATGCCTCTTTCTTTAACCATTTTGGCATATCCATATACAAACTTTACTCTAATGGGTCAATCATATTTGTGACTTTTAATAATCTTTTTTTTTTTTTGGAATTCTCTTATCTATGAGGTCTGCTTCTCTCTAGTTTTTTCTTGAAAGATGGAGGAAATAAATTACAAAAATGGTCTCGGATGTATGCCCTCCTTTCTAAGGAGTCGGCCCCTTCAACAAGTTGTTTGTGAGGGAAGTTATTCTTTATAATGACTAGTAGGGAGAATGGTTTATCATATGTTATAAGGGATCGACGCCTAAAGGAGGTTGGGATATGTGGGGGTATTCTTTTTTCGAAGGCATTTTAGGTTAAATAGCAAATATGTCATCCCTTTCTTGGCTGAAGAGTGCACTTTTTTGGTCAAGTTAGGGGGTTGACGGGATTCTTTTGACGTTGACCAACTTGTTTGCGATGGTATCTTAAACTAGTGCCTACATGATAAGTATGTTAAGTTTTTTTATTTTATTTCACCACTTCTTACTTAGTTTATAACATCTATTTTTTGTGGAAATTAATCCTTTAACACGTCCTCTATAAGATATTTTTTTTAGGGGAAGTTCTAGTGGTGTTGGGATTTCTATTCCTCCCGGACTAGTTATTACTAAGAGGTCGGATTTGGGAAGTGCCCAAGTTCGAATGAGGAAACAAAGAATCGCTTTTTTAAAACAAAGAATCACTTTTTCTTCTTTGATAATTATAACAAACACTTCTTTGGAATATGATTCGGGGTATTTTTTCATTCTCGAGCCTATTCCTTTGGCTTAATCTTTTACTATGGTGGTCATGCCTCTATTGTCTTTGTTATAATGATTGTTCCTCCTTTAGTTTTGAAAGATATTCCTTTGCTCGGCAAGGATTTCTTTTCCCCTAGATGCCTAGGAAAAGAGGTTGCAAATGACTCTAATATTCCTCGAGAGTCACATAAGATTAAGT